TTAGCTTTTCTATCATTGAATCTGACTAGGTTATTCGCTGAAGAAATGATGCATCGTTGAAATTATTGTAAGCTTCACCGCCACTTCCTGCAGAGTATTAAGGGAGGGGCTGCACCAAAATGACTCTCTACCTCTTTTTCGTAGATCGATCCTCCACTCCATCATAATGTAGACTGTCTGCATCGAGAAACGGGTACGCTTCAACCGCACGATGTCGATCTAACATTGCTACTCATAGACGAAGTTCCCCTTTGATCATATGCTGATCAGATGCAATAGGTCCATGTCTGGCGCGAGTCTCGAATAAGGAACTGCGTCATTTGCGGTTAATGAGAACTTTGTCAACTGTGGCTTTAAGCTTCCGTTGGAAAACTTCAACAAAGTTTGGCGGGTGAATTCCCTCATGAGGGAATACAGTGCTACCAACGAATAAACAGTGTGTTACGCAAATGTTCAACAGGCATCTGCTGCTGCCATTCGAGCTGTCAACTCGGTGACAGTCAACTACGCCAGGCCGTATACTGTAGCTGGTGCTACCGTAGCTACCGTAACATCGTGCCTTGACAAAGTCCTGGCAACTGACTTGAGAGCTGTCACAGAAAGCGTATTTGTCGCTGAGTCGTTTCTCAGGGCATAGACGAGTGACATTCAGCTTCGCCTGTTTGACATCTGGGGGACAAACCAAGATTCTCTCCAACACTTGTTCATCAGAAATGACTGCAGGGGTTACCCGTGGTTTCATGCAGCTGAAGCGTATCAACTGAACCTCTGCCTTGATATTACTGCAAAGTTTATAGTCTAAAAAATATTAACATTTTTAATCGCTCATAATCTGCTTCCATAGTCTTCAGTCGCTTCAGTTGCTCGTTATCCACTTCTTGATCACTCTTGCATTTCTTCAGTTCGTTCACGATTGCTTCATTCTCATCCTCCCTAATAAACAGAAGTTGGCAACTTGGTAAAATGTTTTAAGTTTTGTTTTTACTTACAGAGCAGTCATTTTTTCTTGTAGCACTGCAAAGTCTCTTTTCAACTCCGCATATTTCTCTACTGTCAGGTCCAGTTCCTGCCTTGCCGCAGCTGCATCATCGTTTGCCGACTTTAGTTGACTTTCGGAAATCTAAACATTGGCGCCTGATGATTACGAGGGGTTTTGAAGATATATACAGCTCGGCGGAATTGAAACGCCTAACTTCGCCGTCATCAACATAATTTGCATAATGAGTATCGTCATTATTACACCCATGATAGCCATCCTCATCGTTGTCTTTATCATAATCATCGTCATCAAATCTGGCCAAATGATCAGCAAACTCGAAATTTACATAGGACTACGACTGGCAGCTATTTTCTCAGTCTCTGTCAATTTACCGCGATTAAGATTCGGGTTATTGCGGTCGAATATAAGCCAGAGAGATGAATCTAGTAGCTTTACCAGGTAGGTGAAACATGGCGTGCATCTGACCTAGTGATTAAATGACCGTAAACTTCAATCCGATAGAGGTAGAACATAAAAATGAGGTTCAGGGATACTTTCTCTAGATAAGTGATACATAACTGCTAAACCTGGGTCAAAGGAAATTCACCTGGACGCACCTCTATAATCGCTGAGATAGTAAAACACGTCTCTTTTCTGACATTCTGAACAGTGGACGACATATGAATATTCTTCTATGAATACTCTTCCACAGTCAGTTTTCCTTTAGCTGTAGATCTTCCTGGATCAACCGTAATTTGATCAAAGGATAGTCAATCGTTTCCGTTTTATTTTGTGCTTCTGAATTTGCCATCATAGCGATTCATGTATTTTGCCGTTTGGGATCAAGGAACCACTAGAAAGCAGTTTCTTTATACGGCATCCGGATGAAGCGCAGATTGTCAAGAAAAGACTGTACCGTTTGCAACAGTATTAAGATCATGCATATTATGTTTTCGTGGTTAAATCATGTTGAACGGCTGTTGCTTGGCTGAAATTCATCCTTGAAACGAGGGTCATTCGTAATTAGTTAAGGAGCGTAGTTAAATGAGCGCTAGGCAGAATGTGGATCACCCTTCATCCGGTCTGTCCTTGCATGAATCATACGACACATGCCTTCATTAAGGCGTTTACACCAATGAGAGAAGATTGTCGTTTTGATAGTCAAAAAGTAAAACGTGTCAATTCATATAACTTTCGGACTCAGTGTAGAAAATATGTTAGCGATGTTGGAGAGTGGCTGTGCAGTCGGCTACGAGAGTTCGAATCGCCTGAAAGGACAAACTT